AGGTGTCAATTATTGTGTCTGGTCGCTCGAGCGGTCTGCACATATATCAGTTTGGAAAAGTCACTTTTTCATCTCTCTCTCTCTAAAAGCAATCTAACCCTAGTTCTTCACTCTCTCTCTCTCTCTCTAGAACTTGTCTTTAAACCTCAAATTCATTATCATCCGTCGATTTCTCCACCATTGTCCTTTGAAGAAAAAGGTAGAGCTCACCTTGAGTTTCGTTTCAATTGAAGAAAAGTTTCTTTTTGGCTCCGTCAAAGTTTTCACCTTGCTTCCCTTGTCTTCTAACTTTGAGGTAGGGATTTCTTCAACCTTAAGTATGATTTTTACCTTAGTTATTTGTCTATTTAAAAAATCCAGTGATTTGGGAATTTGGGATAAAACCTAGGGTTTGATTTTGAAATTAAAAAGAGGGGTTTTCAAATGGGTTATTGGAAATGGTTGTGGAAATGTATTTATAGTTGAGCTATGTTAAAATGGTGGATTTTATCATTCGAAATAGATTTTAGAAAGAAAAAGGGCTTTGTTCTAAAGCCATGGTTATTTGGTTTGTGAAGGAAAATGGGAAACTGATATTGGATTTGTAAGATTGGAACGAATATAGATGTTGATGGGAATGGCAGAGTTGGATATGTATTATCACTTCCATTTGAAAATGATGGAATTATGTTTTTATTTGAAAATTATCTGTTGAATAGAAATTTTTATTTTGGGCTGTCGGTGGAGGATAGCTTTGATTGTTGCAGAAATTGCATGAGAATTAAGTGAATTGAAACTAATTTCTCATACATATTGCATTGAGCATTGTTACATACTTGAACATTGAGCATGTATTGTTTTAAAGAAAAGAGAGCGAATACCTTGGTGAATCTGGATAGGAGATGTGGTTATGGTTATTATGTTGGCTTGTCTGTCCTTGCTAAAAGTCCAAAAACCTCCGTTAGGTGTCGATCCTTCCTGTTGGTACTGGTAAAATGGCTTTGGGAGTGCTTGTATAGCCTACTGGTAAACACATACCTAGAGATTCTCAGTGTTTTGTATCCACTGCCCTGTTTTCTGTTATAAAAAGATATTTTCGTGAATTAAGATATAATCTGGCACTGCATGGTTTCTAAGAGGAAATATAAAACGTTTTGACATATGGCATTGCATATCCATTCACCTTATGACTTCGTGAAGATTCATACACTTTGTTAGAGCATGTCTATTGGGTTTTGGCTCACCCTATGTGGAAAACAACTTTCAGGTGAGAATAACATGGCTCCGCCAAGGACATAGGTTGGGCTTTGGCTCACTCTGAGAGTTCACGAAGACCACTCGAGCGCAAGAAATGATGCTCGAACATAGGAACAAAATTCTGGGCAACAAAAGTTTGAAAAATAAGCTACCAACCTGTTCCAAATGCAATCAACATAACCCAAAAGCCAAACTCAAAGAGATATAAGGGAAACAAGACATGAACAACTTCATAAAACATTGAAACTCAAATCCAAGATATCAAATCGATCGGGTCTAAACCAAAAACGCTATATGTTACGTTTATTAAACTCTTGTCCTATCATTGCTAAGATCATCACATAACAAATTTGCGATGATTGATGATTTGAGAATCGAATCTACTCCTCCCTTGAGCATCTTTATGATAGGGAAAGGCAGAGAGGATAAACACCTCCTGGAAACACTCTGTCTTGCTCTATTCCAGCTTTGTTGTAGTAGGGTATTTCTTAGAAACAGTGGCCGGTCGGCCATTACTCTGTACGGCTGGCCATCTTATCAGGCCGGCCGGCCGACCAAACATGTTGTACGGCAGTGGTGATTTTACAGCAAAACAAAGCAGATTCTCAGGCCAAAACAAAACAATTTTCTGAATTTAAACAGAGCAGCTTCTGGCAGCAAACAGAGAGGTTTCCAAAGGGTGTTCTCAGTTGCACACATGCGGTTCCTCGCCTCCCGTTCAAGTCCCCTTTAGATTAGTAGCCTTGATTCGTATATGTAATTAATTAGTTGCTTTCACTCGGACTTGTAATAATTAGTTAATTAATTAGTTTATTCATTTGTGTTTGTAATAATTAGTTAAGTATGACATTTCAGATCCTCTTGTGCGAGGGAAAATTTATAATATTTGTATGTCTTCCAACCCCCATTTCTTTCTCTCTTTTATTTACATGCTTACCGTGGTTGCATGTAGTATCACGTTTTCGTTTCATAAACATTGCCATGCTTTGTATCCATTTTTGCATGCATAAAAGTTCGGTTCATCATTTTTGGATATCATTATCATTTTTTACTTACTTGAATACGTGCGTTACCATATGCTTTAAGTTGATTCATATGACATGTTAATAAAGTCGAGCCTAGTAGTTACATTCTTGTATGCGTTGCATTAGTCATGCGCATTGTTAGGATCATGCATTTTTCTAATTGTTTTCTTTTGCTTTAGCTTACCTCGGAGTACTAGGTGATTATTTTTGGCTTTAGTATATTCATGTGTGTGATTATTGCCATGCTTAGCATCTTACCATGAGGCTACGTGCTTATTCAAAATAAACCGTTTGAATGTTTGTGGATGAAGGTTATTTTACTTGCACTACGAATGATTTTGATCAAGTGTATGTACAAGCTCATTTCTTTCCTTTTGAGTTGTGTGCACTCAAAAATCTTTTGACAAAAATCACATAAAATCAAATTATTTCCAAAGCAAGCAAAGCAGTCTATACTCATGTGCCTCACATAGTAAGTTAGCATATTAATAATCAGAACAAGAGCATATAATGTTGATAAGAATCACATCATGGTTAGTAGTGGCCGATCTTTGATCGGGTGAGTGGGGTGCTTAATTCATGACCTTCGCCTCTCATACCTAAGTTCTCGAGCTAAGACACTCTGGTTATGACGGACAAATGGGCCTTTTCCACGAGTTACGGGTTTCCTAAATTTTCCAAAAATATTTAGGTGGTGACTCTGAAATCTGGCAATGCAGTCCATTTTTGGCATCTCTGATGATTAATGAATTTTCTAGGATTTGTCAGATTTGAACTCTCATTCATTTTTTTTTTTATTTCACATTGCACTTGTGAAACCAGATTCAGAACTACGGGAGTCTGAACTGTAGGGCTATCGTATCCAAGGAGACTAAACCCCTCCGAGGAGCACAAAAAACCCAACAACACAAATATTAAACATGTTAGGTTAGTATTAAATTTGTATAACACAAAATTGAGACAAATAACTCGTATAATGAAGAATTAGTTACATATTTTAATATTATTTCTACTGAAGAATATCATGACATTTTTTAATCTCTACGTAATTACATCCAATTTATTAAAAAAAATATGTAAATGTGATTTGAAGTTTAATATAAATTTTGTTTTTGCTCTTAATTGAACTTAATGTAGTTTTTGTCTTTTATTCGAGTTAATCTAGTAAACAAATATAACATTAAAATATAATTTTTATAAATTAAGAGAATGAAATTAAGTTGAAATAATTTTTTTTTTTATAAATAACTTCATTTAATAGAGATTAGTTTCATTAAATTTAACTTGTGAAGAAATTTCAAATATTTTTCATACATTTGATATTTTTAGTTAATAGTGAAATTTTTTGATATGATATGTTGACACGACACGAACTGCATACAGATCGAAAATGACACGACATGATATACGAAGTAATAAATGGGTCAGGTTAGTATTGAGGTAATTCTGACACGAACTTGAGATGACACAATACGAACATGACTCAACACGACACGACGCCCACCCCTTCGTACTATAAAAATATGAATTAAATATATATATTAAATTATAACACACACAAAAAAAATTTATTTGATAATTTTAATCTTTACAAAAAATAATTAAAAAGTAAATTGATATGGCAAATTATTTGAAATTAATAGATAATTATTACTCAAATGTATGGATTGTGTATAGAATATGATTAATTATATCAGTTGTTTTTAGAGAATGAAGCTTTTAAAATTGATAAAATGTTACCTAGGTCAATTTTATTACAAGAAAATTTGAATGGATTGATAATTGTTTCCATTGAAAAAAATTAAGTTAATATAGCGATTCCGGTTTTGACCCGACCCGTTTGATATTTCGGACTCAGGGTTTTATTGTTTTCGAATGTTGTTCATTGTTGTTTCCCTATATTCCTACTTAAGTTTGGCTATTGGGTTGTTGTGGTTGCATTGGAGATAAGTTGGTTGCTTTGTTTCCAAACTTTTATTGCCCAGATTTTTACTTTTTTGCTCGAGCGGCACTTTTTGTGCTCGACCGGGCTTTGCAAACTCTCAGTACTTTTGTAAGTCTGCAAACAACTGGGAGAGTGTATTCTACACTCAAGCGGGTGCGTGCTCAAGTGGCCATTCTTACGCTCAAGCGATGTTCTTCTGTCTACAAAACTACTGGATGTGTGTATTCTGCACTCGAGCGGTCATTTCTTGCGGTCGAGTGGTACAACTTATTGTGTCTGACGCTCGAGCATAAACTTTTGTGCTCGAGCAGACTGTGTGTATATCAGTTCGTAGCAACTCACTTTTTCATCTCCTTTCCCTCAAAAACCCTAGATTGGGACCATCTCTCTCTAAAACCTAACTTCTTTCTACTTTTTCATCTAGATCTAGTGATTTCTCCATCCTTGTGCCTTTGTCAAAAAAGGGTGAACACTTCAAGAGCTTCGTTTTGATCCGAATCAATCTTGGTTTCGACATCTTCGGAATTTCTTTTCTTCTCCCCCGATCTTCTAAGCTTGAGGTAGGGACTTTCTACACTCTTCTATGAGTCTTAACTAGGTTAATTGTTAATGGGTAAGAAACGTTGAAACTTGTTGTGATTTTGAACAAACCTAGGGTTTTGGGTTAAAATCAAAATAGGGGCTTTTGAATTAATGTATTGGAAATGGTTATCGGAGTAGATATGAGCTTGTGTTGTGTTGAAATGGTTGATTTTTGTAACGCCCCCAAAAAAATACAGTAAAGATAGCTCATATGCGGAATAAATATGAGTAATAACATACTTTCATACATCACAGTTTATAATTTAACAAACAATTAAATGCCATATAGGTTTACATCTTTCCAAGTCATTGCTTGGTTACACAAATTGAGTCCCGCTCATTACATCTTAAGCCCTTGGCTATACAAATAATCAATATTAACACAACAAGACATAGATAAGAAGCTCTTGCTTCCTGAAATCCATCCATGCTTTTGCCTTGGAGGAAACACCTCATCTGCACCTGAAAAATGGTACTCCCTTGTATGGTGAGCCAACAGCCCAGTAGAAATAATCTAACACAATTTATGAAGTTTAGCAAATGTATAAATACCACGTATATAAACAATACCGATATGGAAGTATCCACAAGGCCTACATATCCATATGCCACTAAAGCCAATCTTATTCCATTTTCTATCCGTTCATTTCCACTTTATATATGCTACTCAATTCATGAGTTAAATTCATTATCTTTCAACAACCAAAATAAGACTATAACTCAATGGTTCTCCAATTATGCAAAACATACACAAAAACACTTCAAACTTGTCATTTTACGAATATGTCGTCCGAGGGAACCGACACCCATTTATATAAGAAATTTTGGGTCTTTCACCCAGCACACTCAGGCCAGCTTGCTTCAAATGGAGTCCATCCCCTTTCTCCTCCCCAAACAAATATACATATGCAATGCATTTATAAATATAATCATATATGGAGTACATCCCCTTTCTCCTCCCAACAAATATACATATATAATGTATTTATGACATCATCAATTATGGAGTATATCCCCTTTCTCCTCTCAATAAACATACATATACAATGTATTTATAACATGGTCATATTCAATGGCAACCAACAATAGATTAGCATTATATCGCCTAATCCTCATACAGTTTCTACAACAATCATAACTATCCTCCACCGATAGCTCAATGCAATTATTTCCAAGAATTGTTCAATTTCGGAATAAATAGTTTATTCAAACTTCCATAGGTGAGATAATACATATGCAATATCACCGTCTATATCAATAACCATCCAATTTAACATATTCAATGTTATATCCAATTATTTATATGAAATAATCATTTTATCAACTTAGGAAAAAAATATTGACCCAAACACCCAAAATCAACTATTTTGGTACACCAAGATCTTATATTCAAACCCCATACTCATTTATCTCTTATAAATCAAAAACCCCTCTTTTCATTTCACACCCAAATCTTAGATTTGTCCAAAACACAACCAAATATCATCATCTATACACAATAGCAAATAACTAAGCTAAAACCCATACTAGAGTGTAGAAAATCCCTACCTCAAGTGTAGAAAACCAAAGCAACAAGGTGGAACTTCAAAGATGACGAAACTAATTTCTTCTTGGATCAAAACAAAGCTCTTGACGCCCTCTACCTTATTCTCAAGGACACTAGGGTAAAGAACACAATGGATCTAGATGAAACCTTAGAGAGAAGGTGAGTTTTAGAGAGAGAGACAGTCGGATTAGGGTTTTGGGAAAGAAAGGGAATCAAAAAGTGATGTAAAACATCACTGCTGCGAACTGATATACATGGGCTCGCTCGAACGAAGGAATGCTCGCTCGAGCGACCAGACACAAAAGGTCGCCTCGGTCGAGCGAAGGAAGTGTCGCTAGAGCGAACAATGCAAAGCTTCAGGTCTGCAACGCAGAAGCACGCTCGAGCGAAGAAAAGCTCGCTTGAGCGAAGAACACTAACGTTCAGGTTTTATAGAGATGCAGATGCACGCTCGCGCGAAGGAAAGCTCGCTCGAGCGTAAGAAGCCTCGCCCGAGCGAAGAGGCAAATTTCTGGGCAACAAAGTTTTGCAAAAACAAGCAACCAACCTGTTCCAAACACACAACTACAACCCATTAACCAACATTAAGGGGAAAACAAGGGAAACAAGACGTGAACCACCATCCAAACCATACAAACTTGAGTCCGGAACACTACAAGAGACGGGTCAAAACTAGGGTCGCTATAACCTCCCCTCCTTAAAGAATTTCGTCCCTGAAATTATAAATCATGCTTCAAAGCCATGTTATTCCCGCAAGTTCAACACCATGACCCATTCTCCGGTCATCTATTCACACCGACTCGATTCACAAGTCCCAAATTAAAATGAAATTTTCAATTTTCCAAAACATTTACAATGTTTAACCAAAGTCTGAATTTTCAAAAATCGTACATAGCATATACAATGCTTTTAAAAAAAATGATACAACATCATCAATATTCCATATTCTCAAAACATATACAATGTTTATATTGAATCCATATTCTTCCCAAACAATTATAACATATACAATGTTCTTACAAGTTAAAACATATACAATGCTTATACTTTTCATTAACAAAATTTATTCCCACTACATGCTCATGCATCAACAAACAAATCCGAATATTTTTCTCGGACTTCTAATTCACGTTCCCAAGTCGCTTCCTCGACTCTGTGATGTTTCCACAATACTTTTACCAAGGGAATTGTCTTGCCTCGCAAAACTTGATCTCGTCTATCCAAGACTCTCACCGGTCTCTCCTCATACGAGGCATCCTCATCTACCTCTAAGTCGGTCCAATCCAATACGTACGATGGATCTGGCTCATATTTCCGAAGCATACTAATATGAAACACGTCATGAACCCCGAAAAACTGTGGTGGAAACGCCAAACGATAAGCAACTTCCCTAATCCGTTCAAGGATTTCAAAAGGGCCAATAAACCGAGGGGACAACTCCTCACTCTTCCCAAACCTCATTAAACCCCGTCAAGGTGATATCTTCAAAAAGACATGATCTCCCACCTCAAAAGACAAAGGTCTCCTCCTACGGTCGGCATAACTTTTCTGACGACTCTGAGCCGTAGGTAGCCTCTTACGAATAAGTACAACTCTCTCCGTCATTTCCCAAACCAATTCTGGACCTAACAAAGGTGCATCACCCACCTCGGCCCAACACATAGGGGATCTACACGGTTAACCATACAAGGCCTCAAACGGTGCCATGCTAATACTCGATTGGAAACTATTGTTATAGGCAAACCCTACCAAGGGCAAATGCCTCTCCTATGAACCCTTAAAGTCAAGGACACAGCCTCGAAGCATATCCTCAAGGATCTGAATAGTACACTCGGACTGCCCATCAGTTTGAGGATGATACGCAGTACTAAAAGTCAATCTAGTGCCTAAGGCACTCAGCAAACTCTGCCACAACCGAGCAGTGAAACGTGGATCTCTATCCGAAACAATCGTCACAGGGACCCCGTGCAACCTCACTATGTCTCTAATGTACAAGTCGGCCAGATAATCTATCGAGTCACTTACGCGCATAGCAACAAAATGCGCCGACTTAGTCAATCAGTCAATAACCACCCATATGGCATCACTACCCCGTTGAGTCCTCGGAAGGCCTACAACAAAGTCCATCATGATATGTTCCCACTTCCATTCAGCTATAGGCAAGGGTTGCAACAAACCCGCTGGCTTCTGATAATCGGCCTTCACTTGTTGACAAGTAAGGCACTTTGATACAAACACAGCCACATCCTTTTTCATACCTCTCCACAAAAACTGGAGACTAAGATCTTGATACATCTTTGTGCCTCCCGGATACATCGCAAGGTGCAAATGGTGAAACTCTCAGAGTACAAACTCTCGACAAGACTCCGGTACAAAGAAACGGTCACGGTATCTCACACTTTGGTCGGGATACACAGTCAAATCTCTTTCTACTTTCCCATTGGAAATCTTCTCTCGGAAAGATTCCACCTCAAGATCACCCTTTTGCACTTCCAACACTCAGTTCACAAGTGTAGGTTGCGCAACTACTGAAAACAAAGCTGCAGACTCAACAGACTCGCCCAGATGCAAGTCAAACTCATTAAGAGTATCAAACATTTCCCATTCTCGGATGGCGATAGAAGCTACACTGCTAACTGGCTTTCTACTCAAAGCATCAGCCATAACATTTGCCTTCCCGGGATGATAATGCAACTCAAAATCATAATCCTTTATGAATTCCATCCACATCCTCTGCCTCAAATTTAAGTCTTTCTATGTAAACAGATATTTCAGACTCTTGTGATCAGAGAACACTTCAAATTTCTCACCATATAGGTAGTGCCTCCGAATCTTCAAGGCAAATATCACTACTGCTAACTCTAAGTCATAGGTAGGATAATTTCTCTCATGTGTTTTCAACTGACGTGAGCTATAGGCTACCACTTTACCCTCTTGCATCAATACACAACCTAAATCTTCCCGTGAAGCATCACAATAAACTGAATAACTCAAATCCCTCTCCGGTATAATCAATACTGGAGCAGTGGTGAGTCTAATCTTGAGCTCTTGGAACGACTTTTCACAAGCCTCACTCCACATAAACTTGATTTCCTTTCTAGTCAACTTAGTCAAAGGTGAAGCTAGTCTAGAAAAATCCTTTACAAACCGACGGTAATACCCGGCCAATCCCAAGAAACTACGAATCTCGAAAGCATTCTTAGGTTGTGCCCAATCTTGCACTACTTCTACCTTGGATGAATCTACAATCACCCCTTTCCCTTGACACTACATGCCCTAGGAATTTAACCTCTTCCAGCCAAAAGTCACATTTCCCAAACTTAGCATACAACTTATGGGCTCTAAGTAACTCAAGTACTACTTGTAAATGTTCCTCGTGTTCCTCCTCAGAAGGTGAATAAATCAAAATGTCGTCCACAAAGACAACCACAAAACGATCTAAGAATTTACAAAAGATTTGATTCATTAAATCCATAAACACAGCTGGAGCATTAGTTAGCCCAAAAGGCATCACAAGAAACTCATAATAGCCATACCGCGTGCGGAATGCCGTCTTCGGGATATCCTCCTCCCTTACCCTCAACTGATGATAACCCGATCTCAGGTCTATCTTAGAGAAACAAGACCCCTTCAACTATTCAAACAGATCATCTATACGAGGCATTGGGTACTTATTCTTAATAGTAACTCGGTTCAACTTTCTATAATCAATACAAAGCCATAATGCTCCATCTTTCTTTTTAGCAAAGAGAGCCGGTGCTCCCCAAGGTGAAGTTCTAGGGCGTATAAAACCCTTATCTAACAATTCTTGGAGTTAAATCTTTAACCCAGTCAATTCAGCTGGTGCAAATCTATATGGAGCCATAGAAACCGGTGCCGTGCCAGGCACTAAATCAATAGAAAACTCGATCTCTCG